GGCACCTGTTACTACTAGCGTGGCACCTGTTACTACTTGGTTCATTCGTCATGAGTCTTTTCCAATGTGGTTCTTGTTCTTCTACTTTTGGGCGGCGCGTCCTCCTTGGAACTTGTCAGAACCCTGTGGCCTCGTGCGTCCTGCCCGCTCGTTTCATCTCATTGCTGTCAGATGGGCATGTCATCGCTACTAGGGAGGCCATGGCTATTAGGTTGGAGGACATCGCTCTTAGGTTGGAGGCCATCGCCACTAGGCTGGAGGCCATCGCCATTAGGGGCCCATTTGACATCGGGAAAGGCGGGGCGAAAGGCTTGTGAGTCTGTCAAGTGAGCGCAGTGCCAGCCGACGGCCCGACGGCCCCCGCCGCCCCCGCGGCAGCTTCCGAAGTTGCGGTGAAGTAAGTGGAAGGACCATGAAGGAAGGAAACAAAGGAAACAGAGAACATGAAGGAGGAAGCCACGAAAAGGATCGAAAAGGAGGAACCTTTGACCCCAAAGTTGAAGGCAAAATGCCCACAACAAGCGCTACGAAGAAGAACCTTTCAGTCGCGATGGAGCGGGCTGTGCTCTTCATTCTAGAGCAGTTAGCCAAGCATGTTGAAATTCCAATGGAGGCCATCGCTAGTAGGTTGGAGGCCATGGCCATTGCTTCTAGGTGGGAAGCTATTAGGTTCCTCAAAGTTTCCTTCAAGAGTCCCGCTATTGGATGGCCGAGGTAGCACCATTGGCTTGCTCGGGCGAGTCATTGTAAACGGCATTGAAGAGAAAGTGCCCTTCCTCGAGTTCCGCTTCAGTCTTGAAGGGTCCATTCCTCGGCTTGAAGGGTCCGGTGAATTTCTCCAAGAGTCAGATCAAAACCAATCCCGACTATTTACGGGTTCTGCATCCAAGCTCCTAGCTTCCAAAGTCTCCTACTTACACCTTAATAGCGATGGCCTCCAACACACATAACAGCTACTTACTTGAGCTATTTTAAGCTCTCCTCACGGCCTCTTCTAGGTCTATTTTGGCCGATGCGGACGTGAGCTGCTCAGGGTGATGTTTGGAAAAGAATGCCGAGACCGCCCTTGTTACCAGTCGCTTCTAGCTACTAGTAGTAAGCCAGGAGCCCCGTTCGTAGCGTCCGATCGCTCCTAGTAGTAATGCCCTTGTTAGTAGCGATGCCTTTGTGATACAATTTCCACGTGTCGCAACATGGATCTTTGATTGTCTCACTCGAGTTGCCGAGGCCGCCTATGCGTCACTGCTTCAGAGGACTTTGCTCAACGCTGTCAGTGCGACATTCAAGCTGAATGCATGCAGCAAGTCATTTTGAAGAGTTTTCTTCAACTTCTTAGTTTTAGCACTATCTTCCTCAGTTCTTGAGCTTCAGTTCCTCTTATGCAGGAGTGTTGAGATTGACTGTTTCGACGAAGGCCAGGTTGTCATTGCTTGCGGGCATTTGTTTAACTTCAATGCAGTAGAAAACCGACTCTTGATCGGTGTTCGCTACTAGGAGCAAGGACGCTAATGTTCAATTACCATGTTATGGGGGACATTGGTGGGACAAGAGAGGAACGGAGAACAGGGCGAGGTCGATTTTGTCATTGAGATTTTGTGTATTCTTTCTTTGGGCACTGGGATCCTGCCAGGGCCATTTATGCCATAGAGGAACATTATTTTTGTGGTAGCTATTTCCGATATCTTGAAGAAGGCCTCACCTATTTCGATGTTGCTTTTGCTTGTTTCGGTTTGGAGCACCAAACGACGACGGTGAAATACCGACAGAGACGATCACGCCGCGACGACACGCGCAGGTCAGTGTGGGCACGACAGGCGAGTGTTGTCGGCGAAATCAAGCTAGTAGGAACAAGTGCAACTTTAGAACAGGTCGCTCAAGCCCAACGCAGCTTTTCTACGACTGCAGCAAGGTATTAAATGCCTAGCTTTCGTCCCCCTTGGGACTCTTCAGGGCTTTGCAGCCGCAAATGCTGCGGTGATCAATCACATGCCTAGGCATCGCGCATTCAATAACCTAGGCAAGTGCAAACTGGACATGAAAAAATTTTTTGGTCCCTCCCACAGCCAAACCCTTAGACCAAAAATTTCCAAACTTGCTTGTACCGACTTTGGAACAAGCTGCGCCCAACGCTCCAGCTTGTGGTGAGTTTCAATGCTGGAACACTTTGGCGCAGCAATGGCTCAAATTGTCGGAGCTTTTGAGAAACCCAACTGGCAGAAATGTCTTTGTTGTATGGCAGCTTCAAAAAGGCTTTCCGTACCAAACCAGGTGCAGCATGCCTTCTCATCCGCTTTGCTCTGTAACGAGCTAACAAACGATCAAAGCCAGCAAGGTCAAAGCCCCTATCTTTCAAACGACGTCTGAAAGACCGAATGCTTGCAGCATAGTCAGAAAAAAGGCGGTTCCGCCTTTCACATCTAATCGCTCCTCCTAACTGCAGGCTTGCAAAAGTACTGGCAGGGTGATTCGAAAAAGCCGGCACATAAAGATACAGGTTCTGGGGTTTCTCAAACAACTTCCAATGCACACGGCGATTGGGCAGAATGCTGAGGTGAAAGTCCAAAAAGGGAACTTCCATTTCACCAGAAACCTGAAACTTCAACGAAGGATGCCAACCTTCCGCCTTTTCAACCAGACTTTGCACGTCACCAGCCCACAGAAGCAAAAGATCATCAATGTACCTTCTGAGGATCTGCAAATCGCAGCCACACATTCGTGACATGTATCGGTCAAAGTGCCATAAGTAAATGTTTGCGAGAATGCCAGCAACTGACAAACCTGTTGGAATGCCATCTTGCGCCTCAAAAAGAAGCCCTTGAAAAGAAACAACGCAAGCTTCCAGCACCAACTCCAAAGCTATGACAATGAAGTCTCCCAACGCTGAATGGTTAAATGATTGCCTCACAAAAGGGCCCACAATAGACATCAAATGCTTCCTATCCACCGAAGGATACAGGTTAACAATGTCAAGCGTGACAAATCTCATAGCGGCATCACACCGAAGCGGTTTCAGCTGCTGCAAAAGTTGGTCTGAAGAAACAATGACAGAGTCCAACTGAGGCATAAGTGGCCCCAAACGCTCCACCAAAAAAGTTGAAAAAGGTCCATACCAACTGTTACGTACATTGCAAATTGGCCTGGAAGAAACTGGTTGCTTGTGCACCTTAACTAAAATGCGGAAGATTCCAACAGCACTTACCTGAAACTTGCTGAGTAGAAAATCCCGCTCAGCCAAAGAAAGCACACCAGAAGAAAAGAAAAACTGCACCATGGCATCAGCGCCGAACTTTAGCTCAGCAACTTTCTTTTGCAACTCCACCGGACTCAACTGTACATATCCCTGAGCCAATTGAAGTTGAACTTGTTCAACAAGCCATGACCGAAGAACTAAACAATCTCCGAGCCCTTTGTCGCAATCCACAACTGCAACCAAATCCGCATGTTGTCGCAACCAGGCCTTGGCTTTTCTGTCAAACCAAGACTGATTGGATTTGAAGGTCTTAGGTTCAAACTGGGTCAGCTCACGCTATTAGAAACAAGTGCCACGCTAGTAGGAACAAGTGCCTTACTACTAGGAACAAGGATGCTATTAGAAACAAGTGCCACGCTAGTAGGAACAAGTGCCTTACTACTAGGAA